GAAACCCAAGGATCATGAATTTTTTTAAAGTGGCCATTATAATGTGCATGATGGACTTCAAATCTAAGTACCAAAAGCAGGTGAAGGATGCTATATTCAGAAAGGTATCCAGTCTCACTTAAAATAAGAAACAGCGTAATTTCTAACTTAACTGGGAAATTCTGAAAGTTCAATAATTTTGGCCCATGCATGCTTGTTATGGGAAAATAGGCAACTGATTATCAGTAATAATCTGATAAAAAACAAACTGACATTTTTTTTCTACTTGTCTGAAATTCATTACTACTATCAAATTTAAAAGAACTGTTAGTTTAACACAGAATTAAGACCCAAGTTTAACACAGAATTAAGACCCAAGAATTCAGATGGAAAAGGTCCATATTAGGCTTAGCTTTTAAGAGAAAATTTCAAGGTAATGAGATTTTGAGACTATTCTAGAAAATACTTTATAAAGGGAAGCAAAAGTAAAGAAATTTCAATTTTTATTTAGAGAGTTAACAGAGTAAGGACAGAAAATGCTGGAAATTCTTGTTATACATGCTGCTTAACTCATATAATTGTAACTGATACTTCACGGTGATTCATAGACAGATAGATAGATAGATAGATAGATAGATAGATAGATAGATAGATAGATAATTACAAGTTTGCTTCTCAGATATGCCAAAACTGATACTGGCAGATTGAAGTTTGTTAAATATTAACTTAGCAACAAACTATTACCCTCTCTCATCAATCATAGACTTAGGCTACCAAAATACTCCAACTACCACTCACATACAATCAAAGGTATACAAGGGAGAGGGTATACGCGCTGGCTTACTAACAAACAGCTTCTTGGAAGGAGAGAGAGACCCTGGAAACTTCCTATTAAAATTCCAATGTTCCAGGGGGAAAGCTTTTGGAACAAACTGGGGGATCTTCCCCACAGTCATTCTGTCTGTCCTCTTACTCTCCTTGACTTTCTTTGCCAGGTGACAAAGAGCTAACATTTTGTTATCAGCTGCTTCTTGGAGCCAAAAACTGCCCTGGATTTATCCCTCCACCCTTTAGTTTGTCTTGAAAGCTTCTCAAATGTCAGAGTGTCCATCTACATGAAATCACTGCACTCCTGGGGGCTTGTCCCTCTTCTCGGAGGACACAAAGGCACTTGATTGCCCTTCTAATATTTATACTGTGGTGTTTGTGAAGCTAAGTAAGATATAGGAACTTGTTTCTGCATGGGTCAGTGCTTTATAGAGAACTCTCTTTCATTGCCACCATCCTTCCTTGTCCTGTTTTGAAATATTTCACTGATCTCAAGGAGGACTAGGCTAAGGAGTTGGGATGGAGGACAGAGATATTTGCTTGTTTTGCTCACTGATGTATCCCAATGCCTGACATACAGCAGGTACTTGCTATATAAATGAGTAGAATAGGTGACTCTTCTTAATGGATGAAGGTTGGTGTTTTACTATAGGTTACGTCAGCTAGTTCAGGTTGGTCCCATCTGTAACACACCTACAGAGGAAAAACACCAATGCCCAAATGAATTATTTTACTCAGCACTATCACAGCCCTAAATCACTAGTAAGGAATAGCGCTGAGGAAACTGTCGCACTGCAAAATCAACTGCCCTATTAGGAACTTCTCTAAAATCTCTCACCTTGTGACCTGAAACCTGGAGAAGGGGAAGCACAGGCTGAATATTTCTGCAGAGGCTGTCAGTGATCTGACCTCAGCCTGAAGCTCCCTGGGCTTAGGACTTATTATCAGCTTTTCGAAGCTATGGGGCACAGTGAGAACTAGACCTGGTTATTGAAACGGTCCTTGAAAACTGTCATATTCCCTGATTTCTGAAGTTCCAACCAGAGGAAAAGTTTGCGTGGTTTGAGGATGGTGACACCAATTCTGTGAAGTTTGAGTTCACTCCCAGTTACATTAACAGAGTCCCGAGTGGTTAAAGGGAGAGATGGGACATGTTAGTGAAAGATACGATGGCCTCTTTGGAGAATAGGGTTTTGAAGGTATGGACTTGTAATAACTCATTTTTGAAAATACTCATCAAAGTTTCCCTTCCTTTGGGATATTTTGATGTCACAATTTAAAAAGAGACCTACCTCCCAACAAGAGATGGCCTCAAACTTACTGATCAGAGTCACAAACTTCTTTTTTGAGGAGTAGGAAATGGTTACAATTTGGGGGAACAATTCTTGATCCCTAAACTTTCACCCTTGCCCCAGACATGGAATCAGCTGAAAATGGGAATTCTTTGGTTCCAGAGATACTCTGAAAAAGGAACAAGCATTTTAAAGGGGTGTTGTTGTTGGTGGTGGTTTGCTGAACGAGAACAACTAACAGTGTTTCTTCATTGTGTGGCTTGTAATCTATCACGGTCCTCTCCGCCTGCCTCTTCCTTTTTACTTTTCCTCCACCACCTCTCAAACATCAGGTACATGTATGGAGTGAAGTATACCAGAGTAAGTGGGTGCTATGACTGCTCCAAGCTTACCAGGTACAAAAAACGGTGGTCCTCACGTTCTTCCGTTTATAACTTTTAATATAGTCTCCTCCATAATTAAATGTAATCAGAGACTTACTTAAAGTTATTTAAAGAACTGCAAACATAATATATGTGGAAACTCAGAGAACAGTGACATCCTTACAAAAGAGATACTGCCAAACGCTGAGGGAGAAGACAGGTGATACGAGCCAGTGGAAGGACCCTGGCCCCTCGGCCTTTTTTAGACTTTCCTCCAGCAACTGCTTCCTTCCCCAAATGTATAAATAGGTCATCTAAGAGCTTGCTTTTTGATTCCCCAAATAATATGTGATAGTATTTAAGAAATTTAAGTATTCCTCTAGCCCTCCTATCATTTCACTTAACAACAGATAAACTCAGGGATCTGTGACTCGTCTTTCTAGCTTATTTAAATATCCACGTATCTTTAGCCACACACAGAACACCACAAACATGCTTATTTTCGTGTAACATATTTATTTCTTCTTCTTGTATACAAAATTCTCAATGTTTTAGGTTAACCACTGGAAGACTTAAGCTAAGAAGATGAGGAAGAACGGCTAGACATGCTTCCTTAGTGAAATGGCTGACGAAGCACCTTCCCAACGGTCGTTAAATTTAGATAAATACACTTTGTAGAAAGGGGAGGCATCTACTTACTGTGCTTCTTCAGAAGATTCTTGTTTTATTTTTAATGTTCTCTTTGTGACAGGTATTTCATCTGAAAAACAGTTTTTGAAACAAATTATATTTTCCTAAGTGGTGGTATACATTTATGTAGATATGTAGCTATATGTTTACTGTTCATTCCATACTTTCCAATTCGAGGACTTAATTCTAGTTTCAATGCCAGATTTATAAAGATAACTCTTATATAATGAGATGCGTACATTTATATGCAAGATCAGAAACCAGCTCTACAAGTATAAAATTCTTCAAGGTCACCATTAGATTTCTAGCTAGGAGCTTAAAGCTTAATTTCACTGCAAACATGATTTTTAAAGGGACAAAAATGAAAATAATTCTGTGCTATTTAAATTTTCGAGGTAGGTTTTACAGAGCAATTGTTTCCCCAATATCAGGATCAACATACTCTGCGTGTTATTTTCCCCCAAAGGTTTGGGTGACTTAACTCTTTACAGCAAAACCAGAGTTATGGGATGCCAAAGTAATGTAGCCCTTATTACTGTTTTGAAATTAAGAGGTAGTGAACGCTTAGCATCTGCTTTTTTTTCTTCCAATCTTTAAGTCTTTCTCTTACATTATGTTAGTCTTAAGTTTCATGGCCTCTTTCTTCTCTCTCTCTCTTCCAGTATTTGAGATTATTTTTAAAAAACCAGCATTCATAAGAAATATTAGCTTTTAATCCTGTTTTGTTTTTTTTTTAATTAGCATTTCTGCATCAGGAGGAATTCTGTAAAACCATGTCCCTGGACTTTTATCTTGAGCTGGGGAAGCACACTGATAATGCCGATCCTACTATACTTCCTTGGGGGTTGCCTGAGAACCTCTCTGGGGAGTAACAACATTTACTTCTAAGTGAGTACTCATCACACAAATTACTATTAATGTACAGTGGCTGTAGCAGAAACTTGGTTAGTGCTCCTAAATCATGAAAATAAAAATTGGAGCCTTTAAAAAAAAAAAATTGGAGCCTTTGCTACAAAAAGCAACTATGTATACTCTTTTAACTAGGCCACATAAGTTTAGATTTGATGGCCAGGAGTTTTATTTTCCATTTTTAAGGCTAAGAATGGATAAATCACTGTAGCTGTTGTTTGGATGGGACCCTTTACGAAGCTTGAAGGAGTATGATCGCTGATAAAGCTCAAATATGAGCTCTTTTCAAGATAAACCGAGGCTTCCCTTCATTTTTTTGTTCAGACTACAGTCTGGGAGAAGATCTTTTCCAAATCACAAATAGAAAAGAAAAAGGACTGGGGACAAAGGAAGGAAAAGATAGTTACATATATAGTCGTTGAGCCAAGAGTCAGTGCTCGTGGCAGTCATCTTACAACGAGGAGGTGCAGGATATTTAAAATTGCATAGGATTCAGCCACTGAGCTTCCTGTGTAGCTCAGAATTAGGAATTCTGTGTCTTTAGGTTTGCTGGTACCCAAATCACCAAATGACCAACACCAAGCCCTAGCGGGCAGTTTTAAGGTGAAACCAAGGATGCCCGAAGTGCCCCAAACAGGCTGGCTACATGCCTTGTGCTGACCAAGCAAGGCATTGGTTCCAGTCGCGGTGCACACAGAAAGGGATATGTATACACACACACGAGTAGCATATATATATATATATATATATGTATCAGCTTTCTTACCCAATTCCTGATCTGTTGGGTAGCCATGGAGATCCTGACTGTGGTTTCCCCAGTCCTCCTGTGAATACTCCTCCATAGTGCTGCCATCTGACTCCAGCTCCTGGTACAAGCCACTACTGTTAATAAGTACAGGCTGGCAGGGCTGAGCATCCCATCCTCCCTGACCAAACACCTGTTCCAACTGTTCAAATGTGTAACTGCTCTTTCTTTTCCCAACACCATGTTCTTTCACCCGACTGTAACACCTGCGAAGGGTCTAAGACACAAAGTCTTTTGTTATTCCTTTAAAGCTGTACTTCCTCTTCCAGGTACGGACCACAGATATTAATTACTATTAGACAGACATAGACAGACAAACATAGACACATTGTTACAGGAATGCTAGATTTCAAATTCATTATTATATTAGAAAAAAAATACTAATTTAACATTTACTCAAACATGTTATAATTCAAACAATTATTTTGCAATTAATTATCCATTAAACAAGAAACATTACAACATTATTGCATATACCCCATACACGTTTATGCCCCCTCCCCCAATTAAAAAGAATATGAAAATAATTTTTTAAAAAAACAAAAAAAACAAGAAAACAAGAAATACCAGCCAGCCAATAGGATGCACACCTGCCACAGAAGAGAAAGAGCTGCTGTTGTGCCAGAATTTAGAAAAAGGGAGGAAGGGAGGACAGAAAGAAGAATTCCCAAAGCAAAGAATATCACCTTCCTTACTCTCGATTAAGAAGGAATACAGGATAAAATCAATTGCCTAAACAAATCAGCTAGTAAAACATACTACTTACATAGTCCATATTCCTAACTAACTCACTCTGTCTTTGGGGAAGTTGCTAAAAGGGGTCAAATCAATAATGCTACGGATTCCCAGTCTCAAACATCCATTATCAAGAAATAATACTCGAATACCTATGTCTAAAAATGAGCCAATAAAACGAATCTTATTTTCCAGCTCCACCTGCCAGCTGAACAAACCAATTTCACTTCTTTTCCTGCCTCGTGGCACACAGCAAATAATTATCATTATGCAAGTTCAAAGATAAAACCTGGATAATTTCATTATCTTGCACAACCCTTCAATTTTCTTCATGATCTTCTAAGGCATATTTCTGATTATTAGCCCAGTTTCCTTAGTTTAATGGTACATCTTATGCTATCTTACATGACATTTCAAAAGATAAATCAAGGACTTATCCCAGCTTCCAAATTTAGTTTAGTTACACTCAGTCTCTATTCCATCTGTTGCTCCTTGTATTCTACTGGGTTCCACTTGGAATTTTCCGGAGACAAGGCCCTTTTTCTCAGGTGGCTCCCAAATGCTTTCTAACTGAACTGTGCAAAACCAGTTGACCTAAAACTTAATGTGTATGCAATAGCCAGGTTATGAATTTCTCCTAAATGTGAGATTACTTTCCATAAGACATCTCCGTTTCTCACCAAACTAAAATAACTCAAAAATCTTTATAGCGCCTCCGTGAAAGCTCAGTATCTTTAAATCACAGTTGACAAACCACAAGAAGACACTCTGTTAAATACTTTGCGGATCTGTCCCTTGACTCCAGAAATCCAGATGGGCAAAGGGAATAATAAAAGCATGATACATATGATGATCTTCCTCAGACATAAACAGAGCAGTGATTAGCGTCACCCCGTCCGTCCTAAAACCGGCCAGCCTACCCCCTGCATAAATACCTTCCTCATTCTCCCTCTCAAAATCTCTTCTAGTGCGTCAATTGACGCCTTCAAGAATGAAGGTTTCTGATATTACATTCTTTAAAAGTGGTCCTTCCTTCTCTTTGTAAAGGATAGTCACAAGCACATAACACACAACTTCCTAGAACAAATCAGAAATGAACTTGGGAAACGTGTTGTCAGCAGCCCTTCCAATGGAAGGAGACAAATGCTGGCAGCAGGCCTCATTGGCCTTTCTACAAACCCCCCTTTCCCAGTGCCCTCTGTCCTCCTGGCAGAGATTGGAACTGGAATTGCAAACATCTGCTGCCAATTTATTTTTATCTCACAATGTCTAGCTGCTGCCTCCAAGAACACCCCAGCCCCTCTTTTCGCTCCTCCAAGGACCGTAAATGGAGAGACCCAGCTGTGTCCCTTTCACCCTGCCACGGCCATAAATGGAGCTGGAAAGTGTGCCACTGCTCAAGCCTGACCGGCTGCCTTAGAGAAAAGCCCTCGGCACACAATGGAGCCCAGTCAGCTCTGTCACTGAGGCTTATCTCAGAAGTCAAGGAATACAACTAAGTTCCTTCGAAGAAAGGTGTCACATTTATCAAGATGGAGGCATAAGCAAAGCCACCAACCTCTGACAGTACACGTGGTGGGAAACCACAGAAAAGATTTACTTTCTTTGAAACCACCAAACTGAGCTTACAATTGCACTTGGCTTATGTCACTGTGAATGAGAAAACTAGTAATAACCAATGGTTTTAGATCTGGAAGAACAGTCAGGTGATATATTTTATACTTCTTTGTAGTGTACATTTGTAGTACACTTTAATAGTTAATATGCTGATATGTAAAATATCTATTAGGGGGTCTGAAGGGAAAATATTTGGTAATCTTACATCCATATAAAATCTGATGTACTGAAATAATGTTAAAAAGATTTCCAAATTGATTTTAACTCTCTGAAAACAAATACACGAGGTACCTTCTGGGTTCAGTAAAGACCACAGATTCAAGGAGAGGCTATTTACATAGGACACTTTAACTAAGATAGAAAAAAAAAAAGTAGGCACTCAAACATCAGCTTGACTGCTACTGTAAGAAACACTGGGATTTAGTTAAACTAGAGGGACTTTAGAAATGGATAAAAAAAGGCATGCGGAGACCTTCCAATTCTTATCACCCATAATAAATCAGACAGGTTACACTTTCCACACTGTGAATGATCCACCAAAGCATACAATTAAATAACAGTGTGTCTGTGTCAACAGTCCTACATAAACCAACTCAAAAACCCACTCTAACTCTGAAATTAAGATAGCGCTCCAGAACCTAGGAAAAACGAAGTCTCACTTCCCATTTCAGACAGCTGCACCAAACCCAACAAGAACTTCAGTTGAGCTTTGCTTGGAGAACCATTTCCTATTTCCTGTTCAGCACAAAAACCTTGTTTCCCTTCCTTCTTTCTTTAGCTCACTCGTCTTAGAAATTTATAGTAACTTAAGCTCTAGCATTTTTTAAAACATTGAAGACCTCAGGGGGAAAGAGCTGGCTTAAAATTATTAAAGACTGTTCATTCACAATTAAGGAGAACACTTTCCTTATTGTGAGAAATTTCCATGGTAAATCAAGATTACTGTCTCCCCCGTGGGGGGAGAACTGTAAGATGTACTGCATCTTGAATGAGGTCCCAGGGAAGAGGGGTCATGAGGAGTCAAGAGAATCCAGATAGAAGAACCAAAGTGTAGTAATAACTTGATTAGGTGGTCAAATCAGAAGAGTTCATAGGTATTTGATTTGGAAGAAATGCCAGGTGAATGCTTACTAAATCCACCGTGCCAAGTGCTTAATGGCTACAAAAAGGAGAACCAAAGAAAAGCTTCGAAAGATGTCCCATTACCAAAGCAGGGGGAAAAATAAGATGGCTGACAACTGACAATTTATAGACAGAGGGCAAGTTTTGCCCAAGTTTTTCAGATTAGAGTGAAAAGAAATGAGAGAATAAAGATGACATTCATTGCGGATGAATGTAAGGGGAGTCTACGGGGAGGGGGGCAGGTAAACAAAGGCAGGAGTTTTAGATGGGCAGGATTGGGGGTTCAACGGCAGCAATGCAGAGAAAGACCCAGGGTTACAGTACACGTAACATTAAATACAGTGCACGATGCAGCTATCTTGCCAAAGTAAGTAAATCCAGTATTGGGTTGTATAAGCAGAGGAATCACATGTAAGCTATGAAGGTGGCTCTTCCTCTCTATTCAGCACCGGTGAGGCCACAGCTGGAGCACAGCATTCAGTTCTGGGCATCGAACCAGCTACAAGAGAGGGAAATTGTAGAGTTCAGAAAAGGGCAAATAATATAATGAAAGGCTTGGAAAATAAGATCTGTAAGTACGCCAGTGGTTTCATCAAAGCCCTTTCTGACATTATATAAGCTACTTTGGGGTAAAAAAAAACAAAAAAAAAGGTTTCTTTTGTTTCAGTGTCCTCCAATCCTTCCTTTGACTGTCAGAAAATGGGAAGAACTGAATTCTTCCGTGGTATGTATGGCAAGGCAGGAAGTAAACGAAGCAAATCGTATGGGCCCCTGCCAACCAATTCTGCTACTGGCTCAATCATTTTCTCAAAATTTGCCCCATTTCATACAATCGTACAATAAGCACCATGACAAAACCACTGTTCTAGCAGGTGGGACAGGATATGTAACAGGGAGGACTAGAAATAAGGCATAATAACTACATAAACATGTTGAGTAGATAACACTGGCATGATCGGTCTAAGATGTCAGATGGAACAATAAAGTCCAACTGCTGGGAGGAGAGCTTGGTTATAATAGCAGGAAACAATGTTATAAGAAAAAACAAGCAGTGAAACAGATTTTCAAATGTAGTTGTCAAACTGGCTGTATTAACAATGGATTACACAGTTTATCTTAACCATCTGCCAACTAAATATGATAAATTTGAGATTCGTTGAACCCAAGTGATTAAATAAAGAATACACTCATTTGCAAACAAAGTCTTAAAAATCACATATGATATTCCACAAGAGAAAGGGGAAACTACACTGGGAGCAAATCTCCAGGGATTGATTGTTTATAAAAGTGCTGAAAACAATACCTCAGCCTAAGCAGATGTGTATTTTGAGGCAAAAAAAAAAAAAAGTCTTTGTGAAATTATCTTCTTCCTTTAAACTAAATTACTGCTTTATTGTAACTGTTACAACTCGTTGCTCTTGGTTAATTGAGGCAACAAAACAACACCGAGTTTATTTCAATATCTTTAAGGAAGACTCAAAATTTAATTAGTTTTATTTTCCTAGTGTGAGCACAAAGGTAGGAAAGAAAAAAAAAAAACACCCTGAAATAAACACATTTCTGCACGCAGTAAGGGGGATATTAACAATATAGTATAAATTGCTGGATATACATACACACACAGATGTAACTAATGATTAGGAAGTCATCTACGGCAAAAATCCATCTGGGGGCCAGCAGAACTTTTACTATCTATTTTCTTCGGTTTCGTAGAATTAAAACCTGGCAAACTGACTTGCCAATTCCCTAAGTCCTTTAGAACCAAACAAAACCAAAACAAAACAGAAATACAGCACTTGTTTTACACTCCCCCAGTTCTTAAAGCTACATAGGAAGTTTTGGCAAGTGGAAGATCTATTCTTAAATTTTCCTGTTCCTTTTCCTATCCACCGGAACAGAGGTTCTTAACTTTTTTGGGTCATGAATCTTCTCCCCAGAAAAATGCACATATAAAACTGTTCCATTCAGTTTCAGGGGAGAACATGGACTCTCTGAAGAGTCTATATAAGAACTTGAGGTTATTTCTTCCATAAAAGAATATAATACAATAGGTATTAGTCAGAAACCCTAAAACAAAGTAGACTTAATGCAAGCCTTAGGTTTTACAAGAGACTCTAGCGATTGGGACACCCAATTTGAGTACAATTTATCGAGTTTACTCAGTATTCTGCCCATTTAGATAAAGCAGCATTAATGTTCCCTTTAAGAAGTAAATTAGCCAAGTTCCCTGTTTCTTTAAAGCATTATACAAGGATGTCAACTTACTCTTTACAAAAATGTAGCACTTTCTATTCCCTGAGGAAGAAACCTTTTTCTGATGTGGCAATTAAGCACTGTTAAATGATTCATAAGTTATGCTAATTATCTGTTCCAATTGTATCACACTTGGAACATTCAATATCTGATTAACTTAGCAATACAGACAGCTAGATAAATTTCCTAAGGCAAAAACTTAAAACAGGAAATTCACACATCTAGAAGCAAGTATGTATAAGTTAATTCTTGACCACTTTCCTCAGTAGTCAGAATGCCAAATATCTCTTTTATAAAACTTTCTGTAATATACTGATTGGCGCTGGGAGGAGCTGCCCAAGGCTCTAAATGGCAAACCAGGTTCCAACTTCCAAAACATTACGGACGTTTTGAATGGAAAAGAACCTTCGAGATCTAGTCCAGAGCTCGGCAAACTGCGGCTTGTGAGCCACATGCGGCTCTTTGGGCACGTTCCGTCTCAAAAGTTTGCCAACCCCTGGAAGAGCCAATCCTGTCCCTCACAACAGTTTAAAAATTATTCAAGAGCCATAAATATATTTTTACATAATCACCATCATGTGAATAATATCCTTTAAATTTTTATAAATGAAACTATGATAGTTTTATTTTCATTTTCAATTTTACTTCAGAGCCACATGTACGTACCCCAAGAGCCGCATGTGACTCGCGAGCCGCCGTTTGCTGACCCCTGGCAGCTCTTCCATCTCAAAAGTTTGCCGACCTCTGGTCTAGTCCAACTTTCTCCCTTAACAAACGAGCCAAGGCCCCAAGACAAGTATGTCTTCAGAAGAGACTTGGCATATAAAAATTACCAAACACCACCCGCAAAATGTTCCCAAAGAGAGCTATTCCGCTAGCCTGTGAGGGGTTATGTCTACCTTGTTCACTGTTTCTCTGAACGCTGCATACTGCCTATCACATAAGGACTGTTCAGTATATTAAGTAAATGAATTAAGGTAATTTAAAAGTAGTAAATCATTAGCGAGATCAAATTTTTCTCAGCAAAGAAAATCAGGAAACTTGTTTAATCGAAATGGTGGATTTTATTTATAAAATCAATAAATCCAAGGTGGGAGGGCTCCTAAAATCTTGAAAAGAGCAGGAACAGAAAAGGGTATAAAACAGATACAGCTATAATCAGTAAAGCAAATTAATATCTTTGTAACAAAAGTGGACTAATGGCAGAGGGCAAGGCTGTTTGAAAAGTGTCTGCCATTGTTGTTATATTTTTCTTTGAGAGGAGGCGTCACCTGCCAAATAGAGCTCTGTCGCTCTGCTCAAACTTTGATTTGTTATGCCTTACAACCTACATAAATATTAAAAATATAAAGTCATTTTGTCAAAGATAGAAAAGGAGAAAGACTGGAACTGTTTCCTGGATTTTTGTAAGGCCAGACGGAAGAATGACCACCAGAAACCGAGATCTTACCTCTCTGGAGCTCCAGGCTCCATGGGGACTGTCCAGGACTGAATTCTACCAGCTTGTACTTCTTCGGAATCTGGCTATCAACGCCTCACTTGTGTGTCTATAACTGGTCAGTACTGTCTTCATGAAGGCGAGATTCTTGCATAGAACAAATAATTCAGGAAATTTTGATGCTCAATGAGTATCAACTCCTAAGTTTTCTGGGTTCCTCCATGCTAGCAGCTGAGGGGCTTGCCTCGAGGTGGAAAATACTAATTGTGAAAAACAAACATCTTCCATTGCTCAAGGAACTATATTCATGTGGCCATAAAGTTGTTAACGCTATACTCATACAATAGCTCATACCGGCAGCAACACAATGAAAGCCACACCGAGTGTGCCTGATCACGTTTAAGGGCTTCTCTGGGATACAAGAATCCTTTAGACACGGAATCCTCAAGGCTTTTCCGTTGAAAAGAGGACAGGTAAAAAAATTGGGTATTCTGAACTACTTAACTATTTCAGACATAAGCAGCCACAGGTGGTTCTAGTCATCAAAGACTGTCAGATGACAACACTGTTTGTCTAGAACTTCCTCCCCATAAAAAGGGGGAAAAAATCAGTTGTTTGGGAAAGAAACACTGTTTGTCTAGAACATCCTCCCCATAAAAGGGAGAAAATATCAGTTGTTTGGGAAAGAACTGACTTGGGTTAGAGGTGACTTTATCTGACCTCCTCCATCACCTCTGAAGTTGCCACACTAGCATCTCTGTTGAATCTTTTTCTCAGTACTTCATAGCCCGGGGCACCACCTCAACAGTGGTATTCGGATGATGTAAAAAATGTTACCTTTTATTAGTATGTGATAACTGAAAGAACACATTCAAGAGAATTATCTGAAATATTTCTAGGATAGCAGGGGAGAATCATTCATCTTTTAAGACATCCCATACAAACACCGTGCATGACGTACTAACTGTCCACAATCAACCATGTCTAAAAAGGAAGAAATACACATGCACACGTGTACACACACACACACACACACACGCACACACACGCGCGCACACACACACACACACACACAAATTGCAAAAAAAGAAAGTCACACAGTTTTATTGTTACAACATTGTATTGCTTCCCAAATACAAAGGTACCTTCTTCTACTCATGATACTAATGTTTAAAAAGGAAACTGTGCAGGGAAGTTCCCGCCCCCAGCCCGAAACAGTAGGCTACTTTATTCCCTTCATATGACCATGTGATTCTCTCAGCTTTGTTATCTTCTTACTAAAAACTACCATCTATAATGCAAAGATATCCTATAATAACAGATTTCTCCATTAAGTAAATTTTATGTATTTGGTTGTGGAAAAAAAAGAAACAATCTTGACACTTGGATAAAATCATCTAAAAAGTAAGGTTATTAGAAATCCTCCATCAAGATATCTGGGTACAAGCATTAAGTCAAGATTCGGTCAACTGTTTTTAAAAAAAGGTAAATATTGAATTATTTCAGAAAAAAATTTTTTTCGCACCTACATGGTGTAAACTACAGATAAGTGCATGAAAGAATATATCTTCATACTGTCACATACCCTTCCTATGAAAAACCTGAAAATAAGTTTATGCATCTATCCTTGGGCAACCTGAACTTTAGAAAGCTGTTAGAAAGAAATTCAGGCAATCATAACACTTTTTATAGCTCATTTGGCAGTATTTTTATAATTTATTCTTACCTGTATAAGGGTTGCCAAAAACAATGGTCATATGAAAACATGTCGGTACCTTCTACAAAAATCAAGCATTTTCTAAGTGTGG